GGCTCAGAACGTCTCACTCCTATCCCACCCTCACAACATAACCAGTTTAATTTACACAAGAGGAATTTGGAGTTGGCAGCAACATGACAAAAGGATGCAGCCTGTATATAAAGAGGGAGGCTTCTCCACAGATGAGATGAGAGCAAATAATTGACAAATGTTAAGACAAATAGTCTGGAGAGAGCAACAGGAGGCATTCTGTCTCACCTGAGATGCTGATAAAACCTGGAAGCCATAGGAGTGTGATCAGACTAAAAAAACTAATCACTTGCTATTTTGCAAAGATGTGTAACTCAAGATGCTTTTTCTTTTCACTAAGAAGTGATGACTAAGAAAATCTGTTGCTAAACAAGTGCCTTTTGTTTTTGTTTCCCCTTTTTGCTCTGAACAGGCAACGTAGAAGCTTGTAGGCCATGGTAGAACTAAGAAAATCAGCATGAAGCAAGCAGAAAGTTCTCCCATTCTGATGGGAGATGGGAGTCTTACACTGAGGAGAAGGATTCCCAACCCATCTACGTGTCTTTAAAATGACACAGGAGCAGATATCTAAGCACTGCTCAAGATTGTGTCAGGACATTGGGACCCAGAGACGAGTCCACTGATTCAGGCTGATGTGGAATAGGGTTGAATTTATGGAATTCACTGGTTCATCAAGGCTCACTGAAAGTGATGACTTTTGGGGATTAGCAAGTAGCAACATACCAAAAAATTGATAGCTTCTGCATTATTAAGATTAATGAAGGCATTTCTTCAGACAAAGGTGTAAGCAACCTTCATTATTGTGATACAAATCCTAACTTTAAACTCCTGAGGCAGTAGTGCCCTAGAATGTACAGCGATATATTGCTGGGGTCCCACTTGTCTCCAGATTTTTCAACAGTACTTAATTGGGCAGAGATGCTACAATGAAAAAAGCTTCCAGAAAGATTTTACTGTTTGGGCCTTTAGCAATTGCTGTATTTTGGATGTGAACATAGATTAACCAAACCCTACTTCTGGCAACATTCAGACTACATTTACCAGTATTATGGAAAATTTAACCAAATTCATTTTAGCTGACAAATCATTCAGTCTTTCTATTCCAGACATTTCTGGGAAAGAATGGCAAAGCTGAAGTATGCTTGACCAAATGAAATACCTGATGCAAGTGGGATCTATTATCAGAGTGCAGAAAAAGAAGCGGGCTGGTGTTTTAATGAATGTTTGTTGAATGGGAAGGCAATGGCTTCTTAAACCTCCACCTTTGCCACTGCAAGGTTGTGGTTACAATCTTACTGCTTTGTTGATTGAAAGGGCAGTACGAAAAAATAAATCTGAAGTTACATAAAATTCTGCCTGGGTAATTTTCCTTGTGAAGAGATTTAGGAAAGTTTAACAACCCTGTACTGGCCCAGGCTTAGGTGAAAAGAGAGTGTATTTTGGGGATAGATTGGAGTATGCCTTGCACGGACTGTGAGTGAAAATGGTAAATGGGAGAGCTGAGATCCAAGACCTGACATCCCTCAAGCATAAGATCTCTTACTGTGCTGGAAATCAGCCTGGAATTCCTCTGCTTTTGCTTCTGCTTTTGTTGGAGTGCCAACAGCAAAAAAACTGTGACTGCTAAACTCAGGTTTCCCCTCCTGCTGCCCTACTGCTTTGACTTAGGCAGTGATGGGTACATGTTTCTAACTAGTACAGACAAATACAAATTTCCTTTAACTAATCTTCCTCTGGCAAGGTGAGTCATCGTACAGAAAAAGCTGTTTCTGCTTGTTCTCTGTTCAGATCACAGTCCAGTCCAAGCTCCAAAAAAGGCCAAGCCAGTAGCAACAACTCTGACCCTCTTTGTTCTCTCATAGTACCTGAGGGAAAGCTGGAGAGGCGTCTGTAGCTGCAAGCTTTCTGCAGGGAATGATCTTCCTTGGAAATTACTTTGAAAGAAGCTGGCAAGGATCCTGGCAAGAACTTAGCCTTTGCTGTCCATGTTTCCCCATCTGTCAAAACATGGCATAAGCCTTCCCGCATTCACAACATTATTGTGAGGATTCATCAGTTAACACGTTTACATCACTGAATGGGATTTCCTATTCTAAATCACCTAGACTTCAGTTCCTAGGAACACAAATGCATCTCAGCATTCTTAAAGACCTTTTCTCGTACCCAAATTCTTTGCTTTCTGCTACTGCAAGACGTAGTTGATGCTAGAGTTGAACTTGAACACCTGAAAGCAATTTCTACAGTCAGACTGAATTTTCCTGAGCAATGAAGTAATCAGCAAAGGAAAAGTAATTCTTCAATTTCTGATTTTCCTTTTCATTACTGTTGGAAATGATTTATTCATCATTGTGCTTATGACTAAAATTTCTCAGGGCTTTTCTGACTCCTTGGTGTTATCATGAGAAACAATCTTAATGTATGTCATGAGGAACAATCTTAGCATATATTTATGAAACACATTTCATTTGAGAGATCTCTCAGAGGATTAATTGTGATCTAAAGTAGAGTTATCTGTAAACATAACTCCACTGCAAATACCAAATGTGTCTGTTTTGCATGCTGCTGGAGTCCTACCACTTGCCACAAAAAGGCAACTGTGTCTGGAACAGAAGACAGCAGAAGACCAAAATATTTCCAGTACCTCAGACACAAAGTGTTCTATGCAACTGAAATTGCACAGGCAACCTAAGAAAGCAAAATGATCTGCAAGCATCTGTAATTAACCTCATGACATGACAAATGTATTTTTGGTAAATTTATTTTAGGATGTGAGCTACCCAGATCTGGAGGTGATGACCACAGCTGTAGTCTTGATGCTTTCTGATCACCCAAGTTATCCTCTCACAAACATCCTACCCTGGCCTGTGAAACATGCCATTATTTTCTCTTTCCCTGCCACGATCCCTCTGCATCTTTCTTTCTCTCTTACTGCCTTCTATAAAACTAAACTCCTGTTTTGTTTTATTTTGTTTTGTTTTTTTTTCTTCATTTCCACACACTGTAATTTCTTCCCATCTTTTTTCCCAAACTCTGAGCTACTTCTCCATCCAACTATCAAGTACTGTATGCTAACATAGGGGAAAACCCACAGTCTCACACAGGCAAAGAGAAACATGAATAACACTTCATATGAACTTTACAGAGAAAGTGCCCAAACCCTTCAACAAAGTGCCCAGCGAAACTGGAAGTTTCTGCCTTAGAGAGATTCACAGGCAGACTGAACAAGGCCCTCTGCAACCTGATCTAACTCCGAAGTTAGCCCTGTTTCAAGTGGGAAAGGATTAGGTGATCTGCAAAGGTTCCTTCTCATCAAAATTATTTTGTGATTGCATAATTCTAACTTGAAGGAAAATAGGGAAAAGAAATAAAAATTTAAGAGAAAGATGGTTTTCTGGCAAGAGAAAAAAGGAACACCACAAAACAAACCAGAACCATGCTGAGTTGGTCTGCTTTTCATCTTGCCTGCACTGAAGTAATTCAGGATGAAATCAGATGAATGTTAAAATTAGCAGAGAACCAAGAAGAGATTCAATACCAACATACCTGTGGTTACTTAAGGCTTGCTTTATCTGCCTGAACTTTAGGCCATGGGAGCAGAGCAGGGGAATTCTCAAACTCTGCAGAAGTAAATGTATTAGTGATTTTAATCCTCATTCCTCAATCTCCTAAATAAGTCATTATGACCACAATTTTCGATGTAACCCATCTTCACTGTGCAGGACAACAAAGGATGATTAAACCTTTAATCAGAACAAGCACTAATTAGAAAAGTTCCTGGAGTCTTATGAAGAAAACAGTTTTGCGTTCCAGTTTATTTCCCTATTACTGTTTTTAAAATATAGAACCCCCAAAGGTAAGCTGTTAAACTGAAAGTCAATGCAGGAGCTTGAAAATGACCGTGACCTACGGTGGGTGATCTTAATGCTGAAAATGGAATTAATTGCATGAAAATGTCACAGGAATTTTTTAACACAAAAAAGGAAATCTTAAGGGCAAGCGAAATGGCCTAACAGAGTATTCAGCAATTCCAAACACAACATAAAAATGTTGTGTTCTTAAGAATGTAGTGAATTTTCCCCTGACAGTGTTTTGTGAGGCTATAACAGAAACAAAAGTACCCTGGCAATATGTGAAAATAATTCTGTATTAGTCACTTGATAAAACCGGACAAAACAGATAAGTTTTCAGGCCTGCAGGTGTTTCTTTAGTCTGAACTAGAAACTGCTATTTTCAAAGATAAATTCAGGTTAAGAACAATTGTGTCAAGGTAGGATATCTGCTTTGCTTTGAGTGTTTACTGATTTCTTCTTTAAAGGCTTGGGAAATAAATGATGACCTGGGGAATAAATTAATAGCAATACAGTCCTGTAGATGGGTAATTATTTCTGAAGTAAGCTTACAATTAGAAAGGGACCTAGGGAGTAAAACGTATCCCAGCATATCTGCATAAAATCACATTGACTCCCCATGATATTTGTAAGCCTTTTTGCTTATGTTCCTTTAGAAAACGTTAATTGGTGTCCTAAGTCACTTAGGTGCTTTAGATGATAGTATTTTCACTGGAAAAGGCAATAAAGAAGTGAGGGTAGTGCCAAGGAGGGGATGCTCTTGAGTCTACTGGTTATGCACTCCAAGCAGTGGCTGTGGGAGCTGACTGTGTGCAAATCATTGTGTTTAGCAAGGTCGGTGCTTGAGATGTCATACACACAGACCATAGAGGGAACTGAGCAGTGCTCTAACGTGGCTCATCTGTAAAACATCTTTCAGGCTACTCCTAGTAATGAGGTAAGTATTGTTTTCCTAATTTATCACTTCTATTTACTGAAACTGTTTGTTTTGAGAGAAGGTTGGGAAGGCAAAGAAGGAATGTAATTCTCTGTTATTGGCCATTCAGGGGTTTTGAAGGTGTTACTTTTTCAATCACCTACAACAGTTTCCTTGTTTTCACAATGAGTACATGATATCATATCCTGAGCCCTTCCCTTTTCATGCAGCTCTGCAAAGCAAGAGGAGGAGTCCAGCCCTGGCCAGCGTTGCCCTGCTCAGAACACAGGAGCTGCTCCTGCCATCCCCTGCCTGCTGCTCCCCAGGGAACTGCAGCTCTGGGACAGGCTCCCTTGGCACAGTGAGTATCAGCTATGAAAGCAGACAGTCTAACTAGCTTGTGAGGTGGCACTGGAGAATGATCAGCTCTCTGTGTTTGTGTATATGTGCAGTCGGTGACACAAACACACGTGAAACGAGAACTCGCTTGCATTTTCCAACACTGAGGTGAGAAGCAAAAGCTGTTTCCTGGCCCAGCTGGAGTGAGAAAAAGGAGAGCAGAAATGGGGAGGGCTTTTGGGGTACAGGGACTGGCTTACAATAGGGGCAGGGTGCAGGAATAGGACAAGGTGCATGCATCCTGTGAGCCAGCCTGGTGTAGGCAGACAGGAAAAAACAGCTGCTGAAATTTATGCAGAAGAAGCTTCAGAGTGAGCACGTGGACCTCTTGTTTATTCTTAATCTGGTTTGCCCTAATGAATGCAGAGCTAGCTAGTAATAAATGATATATGAAGAGAACAAAAGAACCAGTCTTCTGTACTGGTCTCCACTCATCCTTGGGGCATACAGGCCAAGTAAACATATGAATAGTGAGTCAATGATTCCTTTTAATACAGCTTCATAACCCTTGCTGTTGTGGTTACTTCAGCACTTCTCCATCTTGGCCTTTTAGCTCTACAGTGCAGAAAGAATGGAAGATTAAATTGTAAGGTTCTGCCACTCCTGGTGGAGGGCCCAAGGTTCTGTCTGTATATCTGTGCTGTGCTAAGTAGAGATATATTCGCTATATTAAATATATATTTATGATTACAGTGTATGAGTAGCTTAGTATGTTCTGGAATTTACATTGTAGAGGTGTTATAATGAAAGCAAATGATCCACTTACATTTATATTTACTAAATGATCTTGTACAAGTTATTTCTTAATCTGGAAGATTGCTTTTTAAGGGATGGAAACCCCAAGGGGCACTTGTCCATACCAGAGTAACAAACCAGCATCATTCTAGAGCTTGGCGAGAAGCTTAAGATAATGGTTTACCTACAGACCTCAGTCTGTTTTGAGTGGAACCTACAGAAAGCATCAGTGATGTTTAGGAATATAAAAATAACAACAACTAGCTTTAGAAAAGTGCAAATAAGCGGCATCCTTTCCCCAAACAGTCTTTGGTACAGGCAGCCTTATGAGAAACATGTGAGTATATCATTGATTGCACTACACTATCCATTTCTCCTTTGCTCATTGTGGGTTTGACTGGTTCATTTCTGGGGTCACAGAACAACGGCAGTAGAAATTGTTGCCTTGCATCACCTCAGCTGCACTGAGCTTGCTGGGAATGGAAGGTACGCAGTTCTCTTCAGTTAGAAGTTGCCGGACCCTCTTCTGTTGCAGACATATTTAATTTTGCAGCAGAACAAACGTGCTTTTTCTCACCATATTCATTATAAGAGTAAAAGGTTGTTAGGGTCATGATGCTCTGGGACTGCCGGACACAACTCCCTGCCTGCAGAATGGCCTGTGCCAGGTGCAGTTAAAGCCAGGTGCTCAGCTGCCCAACAGACTTCACAGCACATTTTGTTAATGCTTATCAGCTAGTAGCTGGCTTGTGCTCTGCAACACAGCTGTTTCTTAACTCTTTTGTTTCATAGAACATCACAGCAGACACTCACATTGCCATGTAATTTGTTTGTTTCTTGAATTCACTGAGACCTTCATTTCAATGTTTCATGGCAGTGGGTTCAGCAACAATGTGTTTTCTCTAAGAAACGTGACTTCCTTTCTCTAGATTTAAATCTTCTGCCTTTTGCTTTTGCCGTTAATGCAAATCTACTTCTGGATCATAAGAGAAAAAGCCACCTTAGTCTTTAATTGAAGAGAGAATCATATATTTTTCTTCTTAGTTGTAGTTTAGTCAGTGTCTAGTTTGTTTGCATGCTTTTTATTTTCAATTTATAAACTTTTCAAGGGCTTCACCCACAGTTTTTCCTGTTGCTAATTATTTTGTTGTCATGCTTAAAAAATTCAGAGATGAAAGAGAAGTGAGCTTCCTTTATAGAAACCACCCAGCTCTGCTCCTGTATCCTGTTTATAAATGTGTTTAATAATAAATTTTCCACCACCTTACATCCAAGAACTTTTAGGTATGCAGCAAACATTTAATTAATCTCACAAAGAACGTGTGAGGTAGGTTCCCTCATTTTATAGGTGAGATGGAGAGTGAGGCAGTTAAATTAAGTGACTTGACTAATATCACACTGTGAGTCAGTGCTAATGCTGAAAATAGAATTTATGTCTCCAGGTTCCCTACCCCATGCTTTAATCATCATTACCAGACTTGACTCTAAAGTTGAGCAAATTCCTTGAATGACTAAAATAAATATTCTCAGTTCCATGCTGGATTATTATGTTTTACTTCATGTAAACAACTGAAACATTTACAAAAGTCTTCCATGCTTAGGACTTTTAGTCTTTTTTGTTCAGATGTAGCTTCAGATATCAGCTGCATATATTTTGAAAAAAAAAAAAAAAAGGAACACACTTGAAACACACTCATTGATGTGAATGCAGGAATGCTGTTGTTCATACTCTCAACAGCAGTTCCACTTAATAATATCTATAGCTTCAGTAAATGCACAATTGTAAAGGTATTGCCCCACAGAAAGAAGAGTAGCTGCTAGTTATGCTGTCATGAGTGAATGAAAATGTAGCCTGAAGCACAAAATAGCAACTGCAACTACAGAAAAACCTGCTTAGACACGCAATTCTGAACTGTATCATCTCTGAATAAACTGGTGCATAAAGATGTACAATCCTTGAAAACTTGTTTGAACAAATAGTACCCATGTTCAGGCTAATCTCATGCTCCAACAACTTTACAGCTTTTTGAGCGCAGTCCATGCTTTTGTTTGTGTTGATGGGACATAAAATATTGTTTTCCAATCCTCAGTGTCTTACCCATTCAATGGTATTCTTCAGCACGGGGAAGAATAGACAGCCCAGGAATATGTACCTGGGCATAAGGCAGAGGAGAGGTAAGGCCCAGGAGAGATAACAGAGCAATACTGTCACCATCCCTTGTTTCCTATTAAAACCGAGTATGGACACAGCTGTCTTTTACACAGACTTACACAATGCTTTGTATCACTTTTGCTACATGTGAGACAAGCAGCATAAGGCTGTGGCCCGTCTCCTAGATTTCTGTAAGGACTTTTGCTGTATGTAACAAGTGGAGCATTGCTGGGCAAAGAGCCTTTCAACTTCATTGCAGTTTAACAACAAAGTACCTTAAAAATTCAACCACTTAATTTTTGAATGCAGATTACACTCCTAGGTGTTAAATCAGCTGTATTTATAGGTGTCATGCTGTATTTATAGAAACAACTCCAAAGTAGTGTGATGTATTGTAGAGAAGTGAGAGTCTCTTCCTGACTATTTAGCTGGAGTTAAGCAGAAGGTTCCAGGTAACAAGCCATGGGGATATGTTCCACAAGGCCATCCTGTCTCCTCTCCAGGGCCATGTTGTGTTCCCTTTGGGTTTACCCTCTCTCATCATTTGGGCTCTGCTATCAGTGGTCAGATGTCACTAGTCAGTGTTGCTCCAGTTTTGCTTTCCATTTCTGTTTGAAATAAAGGTGTTTTTCTTACAGACTTTGTAGAACAGCCTGATGGAAAGGGATAAGCAGTTTGTGAAAGTACTGTGCCCATCTACCAGGCCTCAGAGATGGTGCCTCTCCAAGGGGTTGTTGAAAACTAGGCATGGATTGCCTGAATGGTCTGGTAGGAGAGACCTCTGTGACTTTCATAGACTTTGAAACCAAACCTAAAGCAATGCAAACTATTAAAAATATTTATCTGGCTGCTCACTCGTGTTCCCTTTTATCAATAGTTCCTATGACTAAGCCACCAAATGTAATGGTAATAATGTCTGAGGAATGGCAAATGCAAATGAAGCATTAGCTAATATGTGGGGAAACTGAAATTCCTGAGAACAGGCTTGAAATTGCACTGTGCCTAGGTGTTCTCTTCCAGGTTGGGAATAGAAAGAAGTCTTTGTGGTCTGTGTGTCTGAGCAAAACAAAACCAGTTGAAATCAAATACATGACTTTAGACAATAAGCCAGCCTGTATGACTGAATGGACATCGTGGCATTTTGCATGTTAAGTTCATGAATCCGCTTTCAGTGAAAACCTCCATGTGCCCTGCCTATCTCAGTAATCTCATCCCTGCTCTTTAATAGGCCTGTCAGCCTCCTTCTGCTGATTCAGCACAGATAGGAAACATGTTAGGAATGTCAGTTCTTTGCAGTGGTGGGGATTATACACATGGCAACAGGCGATGTTTATGAAAAATATATAACTTCTTTCTTCACTGCCCATAAGGCAGTGAGAAATACAGCTACTCTGAAGAGTTAATACCATAAATACATTACGTACACTTGCAAAACTGAGAAAGCATTTGTGGAAATATGTTTCTTACACATTAGAACTGAAAATGGAACTGAAAAGAAAGTGAAAAGAAATGCATACTGAGGGAGTCAACCCATTTAATCACATTATAGAAATAGAATGAATGGTACAAGGCCAAAGAATGCCACAAGTGACGGAAAAAATCCACTATCAGTTACCTTAATTGGACTAATTATAAAAGGTGGAGTTAGCAATGCAGGCAAGGTATATTTTTCCAACATTCCTTATTATGTGTTAATCATGGCACTGTAAAGATCCAAATATCTTGGATCGTGTAACTTGCTAAATACCACTTGCATGTTTCTTGCTGGAGTTCAGTGCAGCGAGGCAAGTACAAGCTGAAACAGTACAAATGGGGAAGGACTTCTTTCTTTATTAAAACAAGCAGTTTCTGCTGAAACTAGTATTGCTTGAGGACCAGCTTGTGGTTCCAAGTGTCTTTCAGTGCTGACAGCTGAAGACAGTAGCTCTGGGCCAGGAGTTAATGTTTGCTCCTTGCTCTAATGGGCGGATGTGTTTAATTAACCTTTGTTTCTGCAGAAGCAGACTTTCTGGCAAGCTGTAGGAATGCTAAAGAAGGGAAATCTAAACAGCAGCAAACCCAGGCACATTCTATAC